GCTTTTTTGACTCATTTATTGTTATATTATTCTCATCATGGCGGGGTCGTTTTAACACATTTTGACCATCCTTATACATTTGATATGCTTCTATAAAATTAATGCTCGGGGCTTGATTAATCATATTAGATGCTTTATCATTCGGATGAATATTGTCTTGGCCTAACATAATTTGCCGTGCATCATCCAGTTCTTGCTGACCTTCTGATTGTTGTTGAACGCCTGGTTGTTGTTGTATATTTGGTTGTTGTTGTACATCTAGTTCTTGATGAACAGCGGGTTGTTGTTCAACATCTGGTTGTTCTTCTTGATCACATGGAGGTAAAGCAGTCACAGTTGCAATACATTCTTGTGTTGCTGATAGTTGTGGACTTTCAAAGTCATCAGCATCACGTATACCAACAACGGTAGGTGTTGATGGAAGTTCATCACTTGATATTGGTGTTGAATGATGTACGATACCTGATGATGGAGTTTTTTTATTGTTTGATTATCAGTTGGTGGTGTCGAAGCTTGTCTTGAGAAAGTTCCTGCAATATTTGCGTAAGATCGCTTCCTTGTACAATCTGAATCATCACGTCCAATTTTCATGCATACATGACATTTTAAAGCCGTGCATTCAGATTTAATATGGCCTGATGATTTACAACGATAACACACCTTAATTCTATCCTCCAATAATACGGGAATGGTTATACCAAACAATTTAAAGGATATCGGAATATTGTGTTCGTCATTTGGTGACTCAAATTTCATACGTATTCGTCGAACAAATGTTTTAATTGATGAAAAAGGTCGTGGAAGACACTCACATTCTACAGTGACAATCGTACCCTTCCATTTTGATACAACATCACGAATAACGTCATTTGAGATAGATGATGGAATATTAAGTAGTCGGATCAATTTTACTTGTCTGTGAGGTTTGTGAACAGAAAATATTTGATCCTTAACTTTTAAATGTTCGAGTTGTAGCATTTTTTCTTTTGATGAACCATTTCTTGGCATCACCTAAGTTACCGAAGGATTCAATCTCATTAACCGGTACAATTTTACTAATTGTGTTGATAATAGCTGTACGATCTATACGGTGGTTTCCACTAACTAGCGTTAATCCAACGGAATCTTGTAGCAATTGATGACTTGTCATTTTGATAGATGAAAGATGTAATATATGATGTTGGCAGGAGAGAGAAGAGGATACAAAGATATAGGAAAAAAGAAAGAAAGGTTAAAAAGACGGAAAAAAAAGATAGCAATAGAAGGCGAAAAGAAGAACGAAAAAAAAAGAAAAGAAATGAGCCGAAAAGAATAACGAAGAATAAAAGAAACGAGGCGAAAAATGAGGAAAGAGAAGGTTAACAGGGGACGAATGAAGAGGAAGGAGAAAGAATAAGAAAAGGAAAGCAGACTACGAGAAGATAATAGGTAGATGGAAACGGGATAAGATAAGGTAAGAATAGCTTCAAGAATATGGTTTAACTGATGTAATCAGAAAAGGTTGAAGTCGGAAAATAGTTATTGTTTTTCTTTTATCTTCTTTATTTGTTTTTGTTTTTTAATTTAACTATTTCACGTTAAAAAAAACTATCAGAGTTGATCATTTACCTCTTGGTAAGTTGTAATAAGCAACTCACTATAGCCACCTGTGAAGCACAACATCTATGTTGTTTTTACACATTACATGTTTTCTCATTCATTATACTTAGTAATGTGTATACACAGGATTGCAGTCGAGGCTTAATTTCAATGAAATAGTTATCGCTTCTCGGCCTTTTCGGCTAAGATCAAAGTGTAGTATCTGTTCTCGTCGGTTTGAAAGCCGGCGCTGGTCCCATCGGGACCAGGCTCTTTCAAGCGGATTTTTGGATATCGACCGGGATCACCCGAGTTCACTCGGACCCGTGCTACGGATCGTCTTAACACTGCAGTGCCGTTAAGTTCGGTCCACTCTCGTGTCCTTCGGGAAATGAGAACTCATCTATGATAAAACACTAATATAAAACTGTCTTTTTGTCTGTTAATAAATTACTTATATAACGTAAAGATTATTCCTTATGAGAAAAAAAAAACATTTTCCGATGTCGT